TAACTGAAGATGTGTTCACTGGCAGGTAGCAGGGAGGTGCAGGTAAGTGGCACCTGTTCTTCTTTTACTTAGGGTGTTTACTTGAGCAAAGCCCCAGTGTGATTGGAAGGCAGGGGGCCGATCTCTATTTTGGTGGCTGCATTTTTGGGGATGGGGGTTGGGAATAAAACAAAGCTGTAAATTATCTCATTCCCCTTCCCCCCAAGGGACGGACGATGCCATGGCGCCATTTATTAGGACAGCAGATGCCATGTTATGCTGCTTGTTCACTTGGGGCACTGTTGTTTCACAGGCTTCCTTGATACTGGACTTTGAGACTTCACATTAGGAGCATACGTCTCTCTCCTGAGGCTTTTACAATTCAGTCAGAGAACTCAGCCATTCGCAGGCTTTTGCTCGCTGCCTTCAGGGCACAGTGTGTAAGAATTCCAGTTTGGGTTATATCTGCTTGTTTCCACCTGTCTCTCAGTTAAGCACATGATACTTCTCTGGGAGCTATAGAAGGGTTTTCCTTTACTGCAGAAGGAGCAGTGCTCCTGTGCTTGGGTACACCTCTCTATGATGCCCCATGTCATCCTTATAAGATCCAGTTTCAATTTCTTGGGATCTTTTCATCACCAGCAGAATAAACTGTTGGTGTCATTCTGGGGTCTGTCCTGGCTCCTTTTCACGTTCATCCTTCTCACCTCTTGTGGCCCTTGTCCTTCCTCTGCTTGAGTTTCCCAGGTCTGGAGACTGTGCTCCAGCCTCTTTGGGCATTACAAACACCAGCACCAGAGACACTGAAGGTGATGTCCAGTGGTGGTTAATAGTTGCCTGGAAGTCAATCTGATTTATTTGTATGGGGTGAGGGACATAACTTTGGACGTAATTATGTTAAGAACATAATGTGCTCTCTTAAAAAAAATAGGAAAAGAATAGCAGAATAGCATAGTAAGTAGTCAATAAAAGAGTCCTAACAAAACTAAAAGCTTACATGCACAACTAGAAAGCAAATAACAAGAGAAAAGACAACCAAAAACCATTCTTTTAAAACACTAGTAAAAGTTGATAAACAGGTAAGATTGATCAAGGACAAAAAATTGGGGTGAAAAAGGGAACAACTACAAAAACAATATAAAATTTGAAAATAATATAGTATCCTATTCAAATAAATTGATCAAAACAAAGAATAATTTCTAATTTTATTGAACCTTCAAATAAAAGAGAAACTTCATCTTTTCCATCCCATTCTGTAGAAAGAGAAAGAAGCTCTCTAACTTCTGTTATCTACCTGTGTTACCTTGATAACAAAACCAGATAAGGTCAACATGAAAAAGCAACATTAAAGATCATTTTACCTATAAGTGTATAAGCAAAAAATTCTAACCAAAGTATTAATAAAATCTTAGACGGTCGGAAAAAAATACCACACCTCAGGGCTAAGAGAAGTTCATTACAGAAATGCAAATGCAAAAAAAAAGAAAAAATCTATTGTAAGAAAGACATCAGAGAGATCCGAATTGAGGAATATCCTATAAAACACCTGACCAAGTGCTCTTTGAACTGTCAAGGTCATCAAAAGCAAGAAAAGTCTGAGGAACTGCCAGGAGGAAGCTGTGGAGGCATGACAATTGTCAGGTGATGTTCAAATGAACTTCTGGAACACACAAAAAATTAGATAACAGGAAATCTCAATAAAATATAGACTTTATAGTAATGTTTCAGTATTGGTTTGTTAATTGTAACAAATATTCCATTCAAAGATAAGATGTTAACAATAGGGGAAACTAGGTGTGGAGTATGTGGGGACTCTTCACAATTTTGTATGAATCCAAAACTATTTTTGAAAAAGTAATTCAGGGAAAAGTCATCAAAGAGAAAATAAATGTATTAAAGCCAACCATAAAAATTATAAGACAAATAAGCAGGTTTAAGAATAAGCTAAAGAGATAAATGACAAGGACATTTTTGAAAACTCTATTAATGCATATTCAATTAAACATAGACTGGACAAACACAAATAGCCTCACTTATACCGTAAGTTGTCCTGTGTGAGCCACAGTGAAGGGAATTTATGTTAAATAAGATGTAAATCCCCAAGGACAAAGATGGCAGGAGAAGGACAGTAGCAACCAACTTTTGTAGTTTCAAAACAGGTGGCATGTGGTGAACAATTTGTCAGAGAGCATGGAATGCTATGACAGCAGTAGAGAACAGCTAGAAGCAACCTAACCTAGTGAGTGCAGATTCTCTAAAATGGTTAGGAAACTGCCCATGGAAGGGAACTACAGAAGTAGGGGGTTAAGAACTAAAAACAAGAAAGCTATTTGTCCTTCTGTTTAAGGACTAGTCAGGGCTCTGTTGCCTGCAGGCTGTGGGTTTTTCACCCCAGAAGATGGTGAAAGTAAATTAGGAGTTTCTGGCTTGGAGTCACTGACATTTGGCTGAATGCAGAGATGCTGTCTTGAAAACAAAGATATTAAATGAGAATGTACATACTCTCTGGGCAGGGGAGAATCTTTTCCCTGGAATCTGAGTTCTAAGGAAAAAAATCTCAATATACATATATTTGAGGTTTTTCGAGAACATGATGACTCACCAAAGACCACGCCTGCTTCTAGACTGAGCTTCCATTCAGCCCTGAGCATGAAGAGCTGCTGAGAGGTTGTTGGAGAACTGAGCACAGAATTGAGGAAAGAAACCCAGGCCAGAAATGGGCATGTAGAAAGGTGAGAGCGCAGATGATGTTTAAATAAGTGTGGCATTCAGCCTGGATAAGACTGAGAAGGAGGCGAATATAGGTGGAGAAGAGCCCTTGCCCTTCCAAACACACAGATCTGAGACCGGAAGGAAATCCAGGTGAGTGCTATGCCTGGCCCATGAGTGAAGCAGTTCCGGAAGGAGACTGTTGGCTCCATCCTTTGCAGCTGGTGCTGCGCAGGGAGCACTGCAAGCTACATGGAGTCATGCTGGCCAGCACAGTGCTGGTGGGTGGAGGGGCTGGGGGCACATGAGGACAAAGCCTCCAGGTTGGGGATGAGAGGAGTGCACTTGGTCCTGGAAGCAAACCTAAGCCTGATGGTGAGGATGGGGCCTGAGAAGAAGCCTGATGCAGCGAAGAAGCCAGGGTGACAAGGACTAAGACCATGTAGTGTAGGCAAAACGTTTGCTGCTGTTGGGAATAAGCACAGCCTACAAAATAAACTTTTTGTTTCAGTGCAACATTTTTCATTTTAGGAAAATGTGTTTTTGGCTGCTTTTCAGTTTTCTCTAAAAATTCAAAGGCTTATGATTTTAGGAAGCTCGAGGCTTACTCAATCCAGCCTTCCCCAGTCGGCCTCCAAAAATCACTTCGTCACTTAAATGATATAGACTGAGATACATATACAAATCAATCCAGTCTTCATTAGCCATGCGTTTCAAGGGAAGGCACTTCACGTCTCATGATTACATCTGTAGTATAGAGACAGACGCGCCTTGGACTCGTTGGAGCCCCCAGCCAGGGCCTCTACACTGGCCTGCTCCTGCCTGGCTCTTCCCCACAGCTGCATGGCTCACTTGTTTCCCAGGCTTGCGTCACATATCTTTAGTTTCCAGAGAAAAGCAAGACCTCAGGGAGGCACCTCTCCATACCAGTTAGCATGTTTAACACTTTAAAAACAGGCAGTACCCAGTTCTAGTGAGGAGGTGGAGCAAGCAGAGGCCTGTGCTTTGCCAATAGGCGTGTCTGCTGGGACAGCACCTGGAAGCAACTTGACAGCTTCTCTCTTCAGTGTAAGATTTGGCAAGCACACTTAGAAGACCCAGGACTCTCGTTCCTAGGTACTTACCAAAGAGCAGTATAAACGTATGTTCACACGAAGACCTGTACCCAGATGCTTATGTCAGCTATATTCATAATCGCCCACAGCAGGAACCAATCTCAGTGTCCCTCAGCAGATGAATGGATAGACTGTGACACATCCACAAGATGAAATGTTGATGAGCAACAGGAAGGAACAGACTGCTGATACCCACAGCCACATGGATGAACCTCAGATGTGCTCTGCTGAGTGAAGGAAAACCAGACAGAAAGGCTGCATGTTATAGGATTCCATGTATATGACATTCTCAAAAAGACAAAACTGCAGGAACAGAAAGCAAAGCTGTGGTTGTGAGGGACTGAGAAGAGGGAGGGGACTGATGATAAAGGGGTCCTCTTTGGAGTGAAGGGACTCCTTCATGTTTTAATTATGGTGGCAGTTTATGGGAACAGTATGAAGGTATACATATCTTTTTTTTTTTGAGTTGGAATCTCACTCGGTTGCCCAGACTGGAGTGCAGTGGCCACTCCCGGTCATCGCAGCCTCAACCTGCTGGGCTCCAGCGATCCTTCCGCCTCAGCCTTCCAAGTAGCCGGAACTACAGGCATGCGCTACCATGCCCAGCTGATTTTTTTAAATTTATTGTAGAGATGAGGTCTCGCTGCCCAGGTGGGTCTCGAACCCACGGGCTCAGGCATTCCACTTACCTCAGCCTCCCAAAGGTGCGGGATTACAGGCTGAGCCACCGAGCCCGGCTTGGTATACATATCTTAAACGTCCTTAAATCTAAAGGAAGAAAACTTCCTGTATGAAAATTCTACCCCCAATAACCCTGACCTAGCCACAGCCATCACACATGTTGCTATGGTACTGAGGCCTTCCCTGGCCACCCATTTCCATGACACTGTTTCCTACCATCCTGCTCAAGTATCTCCCCTTTCATCTTCAACTTATAAACCCTTCACAGGGTTTCCAGGAAGCATATGTCATCTCTACTTTGTTCTTTTAGTTGGAAGAATCAAAGTCATTTGACCTTTCTTCATCAATCTTTTTTTTTTCCATCCTTTCAAATCCTCAGTCATTTAACAATTTTACCTTAATTATTCTACTCTGAATACATAAATTTTTGACACAGATAATTTTTATTAAAGAAAAAAACTGCAGTGATGAAGTCAAGATTGTGCTTACAGAGTAAACCTATGTTTTTCTCCATAGATAGCAGCGAATGCCTTGCAGATGACTGTAGCATCATTGCTGGAGGGAGCCTCACAGGTTGGCACCCAGACTCCGCTGCTGTGCTGTGGCGAAGAGTCCTGGGCATTCTTGGAGATGTGAACAACATCCAATCACCCAAGATTCATGCCAAAGTGTTTGGCTACCTCTATGAACTCTGGTACAAGCTAGCAAAGGTATGTCCTGCTGCGTGACTTGTTCTAATCCAGGAAAATGTATCATCTAATGTAAAAACTGTGTTGCAATTAACTACTGAACATATTCTGAAATACAAATTAGGCATTTAGACAAAGTGCATTTGATTATTAAAGAATATGTCATAATATATACATATAGAGTGGATTAAAGAATACATCATAATATATACACACAGAGTTTGAATATTTTATTAACGTAGAAGTTATTTCATTTAATGCAAAAGTAGAATAATTATTATATAATACTAAAAATGGATAATAAAGAGTTTTACTTGTTTTTTTAATAAATGTGATACTTGTTTTATTGTATAAAATTTGAAAAATATAGAAAAATGCAAAAAAGAAAATTAATATCATCCACAGAAATAACCAATATTAACATAGCTTTATTTCTTCTGATAAACACATTTTTATAAAGGTACTTAGAGTACATGCAGTTTTCATTCTGGTTTTTGTTTTGGTTCTAACATACATTTTCCCTTGTTATTTTGTTCAAAAACTTTCATGTTTGTACAGTATAACTTATTAAAACATTGTGATTTGGAGTTCAAGACCTCTCTGGACATTAATATTTAAGGAAAAACAATGCCATTGTTTTGTATTGAAATCTGAAACCACATAGAGAAAGCCAGACAAATAATTCAAAAGGACAGTAGATCACACAATAAAAGAAAAACTTGTAAATATTATATGTTTTTATCAACGTACAGAAATTTAATGGGAAGCAGCTGTTTGGTCACAGAAAACAATATTGAAATGCTGTTGGGTTAACTGGAATGTTGCCTTCCTAAAATTCTCCTGTTTGTGAATTAGATACGGGATAATCTTGCAATAAGCCTGGATAACCAGTCTTCTCCATCTCCTCCGGTCTTGATCCCACCACTCAGAATGTTTGCATCATGGCTATTTAAGGCAAGTGGAGATGTGTTTATTCCTTTATTGCAATTTCCTCTTCCCTTCTGAAATTGAGTTTAAAAAATATAATTGCCCAAGACTGCATGTTTTGAAGACAGGCTGGGTCTTACTAAAGCTACTATACCCCACCTCTCCACAAACAGCTCTTATGCAAAACTGAGAAGTAAATGAACTGTCGAAATGCTCTGCTCTGGGCTTGATTTAATCTGGAAATATCATCTCCTTGGCAGGCGACGACTCTGCCAAATGAGTACAAGGAAGGCAAACTGCAAGCCTACCGGCTGATCTGTGCCATGATGACCAGACGCCAGGATGTGCTGCCAAACTCAGATTTCCTGGTTCACTTTTACCTGGTGATGCACCTGGGATTAACCAGCGAGGATCAGGTATTCCGGGACTCCTTCCTCATGGCTGCCCACTAACTGGAAACTGCACATCACTCTTCAAATACATCAAAAATGTTGAATTTCACAGTAGTCTCAACTCTTTTACACACAGCAACCACAGTGATCTTTCAAAACTAGGAATCGTGTTTCATACCCAGGCTTCTTCTCCCCACTGACTTTGCCTTGTGCTAACTTAGTTTGAATTTTATTGCATGGCTTGTGTGTCCTATCCTCGGCCTGTGTTGTCAATCTCCCTCAAAATACATACTACTACAACAGCTTATTATTTGGGTTCCACATTAGGTATTATTTGAAGACAGTGATCATTTAAAAATGTTTGAAAATTGTAATTTTACTAGCTAAGATGTTTTTTGTGAAAGATTTAACTTATAAGTGAGGGGTCCTGACATTTTTTGATGAGGAGTTACATTTATTTCTCCCAAAGAGTTTTAAGTTTGGATCAAGTTAGAATAAGTAGCTGCTAGCTATAGCCCACTTCTTGTAGACCCTGGGCTTCCAGGGTAGGATTTGACCAGATTCTGGCCTTCCTCCCTTGGGTGTACCCCTGCCAGTTGAGGGCAATTAAAAACAGGGACATGTGGACTCTTTACCTGATGTGAGAATATCAAGGAGGCAAGTGATGTGATTGATTTGTACTTCACAGAGGTTCTTCTGGACTATATTTGAAAATGTGGCGGTGGTAAAATAAAGTGGGAGATCAGGCCTGTAAACAGAGATGAGTTAGGAAACGATTCAGATTAATTAGGAAGTGATATAAGTTTTAAAAATGATAAGAACTAAGATGGAAACACTGGAGATGGGAACTAATGATAGGAGCTAACATGAAAGCATTGGAGATGGGAACTGATGGTAAGAACTAAGAAGGAGCATTGGAGATGGAAACTAATGACAGGATAAAAAATGGGAGCATTTTAGATGGGAACTGAAGATAGGAACTAAGATGGGGGCATTGGAGATGGGAACTGATGGTAAGAGCCGAGATGGGAGCACTGGAGATGGGAACTGATAAGAACCAAGATGGCCTGAATTGTACCCCATGACTTTAAAATAAAAATTAAAAACTAAAAAAAAGGTTCAGAAAAGCAAACAAAAAGTACTAAGATGGGAGTATTCGACATGGAAACTGATGATAAGAACCAAGAAGAAACATTGGAGATGGGAATTGATGATAGGAACCAAGATGGGAGAATTGGAGATGGGAACTGATGGTAAGATCTAAGAAGGAGTATTGGAGATGAAAATTAATGATAGAAACAAAAATGGGAGCATTTTAGATGGGAACTGAAGATAGGAACTAAGATGGGGGCATTGGAGTTGGGAACTGATGATAAGAACCAAGATGGGAACACTGGTGATGGGAATGATGATAGGAACCAAGATGGGAGCATTGAAGATGGGAACTGATGATGAGAACCAAGATGTTCTGAATTGCACCCCACATCTTTAAAATAAAAATTTTTTTTAAAAGGCCCAGAAAGACAAACAATAAAGAACTAAGATGGGAGTATTCGAGATGGGAACTGATGATAAAAACTAAGAAGGAGCATTGGAGATGGGAAAAATGGAGTAGGCAAATCAAGACTTTTAAAGTATTTCATCACTCGGTTTTCTTGACTTGTTAGAGGTATTGGGTGTGCTTAGGAATTTACACCTTAAAGTGTAAATACTTATCAATGAATGAATCACTTATTAACTCCCCACCTGCTGTCTTTTCTATAGTTCTTTTATTCTTTGAATGGACACACAGAGGCAGTATGTGTGATGCAGACACACAGGTCTCTTGATGTCTCTAGGTACATGTAAGAGGTCATTCTCCAGATAAGCCAGCTGTTTTTGTTGCTTCACAATGTACTTGAACCTTTTTGACCTTTTGGCCTTATTTAAAGATGTTGCAGTATATTTCCTGATAAGCACTTTGAGCTTTAATCATTGAGCTTTTATCTGAATTAATAACCATTCTGTCCTAGTGAGTCACCTATCATATGTACTCTGGTTTTGGCAGTGATAGAGTACATCTGTATAGCTGGCTGGACTTAAACCATAGCCTCATTTATTTTCTAGACACATGTAGAAATATGGACATGGGGTAGAATTGTTTGTCCTCCCTGTTCAAATATTTTCTAGCCATCATCACAAGTAGGAGCATCTTTACAGAATGATGCAACTCAGGGTCTGTGGAAGATTCAGGTGTGTAATTAAGGAAGAGAATTAGCTCTATCCAATAATAACGATCTCCTTTAGTGCAAGAATCAAGAGAGGAAAGTTCACTTAATGATACTCTACTCTAAAGCAGTGTTTTGCTAAGATTTTGCAAAAAGAAAAAAATTTACTTGGAAATAATAATCAACTGTAGAACCTTCTCATTTAATGAAAACTAATTAGAAGTCAGCAGTAAGCAGTATTCCTTAGAATTAGTTTTCTAGAAAGTCACATAAACAGGTGTGAGTTTTGAGTTACTTTTGAATTTTAAGGTGTGTTGGTGGAAAATGAAACAATAGAATGAGATGAAATTAGAATGTCCAATAGCACTTGCGAATCTGAAAAATATGATTTTACAAATTATTTTTGTATTTATTATTTTTATTTTTATTTTTATTTTTGAGTGGGAGTCTCACTCTGTCGCCCAGACTGGAGTGCAGTGGCCGCTCCCGGCCACCACAACCTCGACCTGCTGGGCTCCGGTGATCCTTCCGCCTCAGCCTTCTGAGTAGCCGGAATTACA